TAGAATTGAATAAACTTCTGTGAATTTTGAAAGTTCGTCATGGGACATAATTTTCTGTTGGAATTTTAATTGTGTATATTAATTTTTTCGAATGCGATTTCTGGGGTTTCGGTCATGACTGAAGGTTTGTTAAGATTTTTTCTACTGATTTTAGTTTTTTGACAAACATCGCAGGTTTTTATAAAGTTTTCGACATCTTTATTCTCGATATATTTTTCTGGTATTCTTCGAATTGTTTCATTGATTCCGCCACGTAGATTACTCTTTACGTTATGGTTTTGATCTATAATTATTGATACTTGATTTTTGTCGAGTGTGACAATAATATTATTGTATATTGGGATTGATTTTGAGTTGGGACGGGACATGTTTTCGTTGAATTGATTTTGATTCTAGAAATTGCGTCAGCGTTTTCGTTGATTTTTCCTGGTTTGTATATGATTTCATATTCATATTCCTCGAGTTTTAGATGCCATCTAGCAAGTCTGCCGCCAGGGTTTTTTTATGGAGAATAACCTAGTGGTCTGTGTTCTGTAATTCATTTTTCTCCCGGAGAGGTAGGGCCCGAAGTTTTTGACTGCCCATAATATAACCAATAATTTTCGTTCGATTGTAAAACACTCAGATTTAGCTGAAGAGAGGGTTCTTGAAGTGTATGCGATAGAAAAATCTTTTCCAATAGGGCATTGAGATAGAACAGCACCAATAGCATATGTGCTAGCATCTTTTGTCAGTATAAAAATGTCTTTGAAATTTGTGTATATTAGGATTGAGGTCGAAACGAGGTTTTGTTTTGATTATTGAATTGATTTTTCACAATCATTTCCGAAAATGGAAGTGGACCTATTTGGAGTATTTATGTGGAAAATATTGATATTTTTGCGATATGTGGAATTTTTCTCTCGTAATATCCTGCTGAGCCAGTTTTAGATTCCAGAAAGTTTATGATACAATCGACTTTGTTGGGATTTGGCTTCACTTCATTTTGGGAATAATGGCCAAGAAATGATACTCCTTTTCTGAGGAATTCACACTAATCTGGTTGAATTTTAAAATTGGCTTGACGGGATCTCTTGAATACTACTCTTGGTCTGGATATGGGATCACGAATGGTAGGAAAGTAAATAATCATGTAAATTAAACATCGTCCTTTCTGGATTTCATAGGGAATGTTATCCATCACGCTTTGATACGTTGATGGGGCATTTTTGAGGACAAATCCCATTTTGAGAAAATTTAAAAGGCCGTTCTCTACAGTTGAAGTCGTTTTTGGAATTTCCTTGACATAGATTTCGATTTGATGAAAACCAGAAGCAAGGTCACGGGTAGTGAAGTATTTACGTTTACCAATTTGATCAAGAAGTTCTGATATAATTGGAAGACGAAATTTGTCGTCTATATTCAGTTTATTTACCTTTCGTTGGTCAACAACTACTCGCCATTTCTGTTTTCCCGAAGTATAATTGTTTTTTTGGAATAACCCACATGTATGATTCCTTACCCTAACACTTGAATTGTTGTCTTTTGACTTTTATAAATTTGAGGATAACGGTATGATTTTGTGAAGAACGGTTTTGCGTATTTTGTATCTATAGAGTGTTTGATTTCGTTTGTAAACGTTATTCGATCACCTAGAAAGAAAATGTTTCTGTTAATGATTTTTCTTCCTTCTTCTTTCTTTTCCTTTCTGATTCAAATGATCTGAACGTTATTGGTTTTCAATTTCGAATAATATCAGTTAATAATTCC